ATATTAATGGTTGGTTTTTTTTTTCATTTTAAACATTTACATTAATAATAATATGAACAGATGCATTATAATATGAATAATATGAAAAAGTATAATCAATGATTAAAAAGATGTATACGTGAATTATTGTTCATAGATAAATTCATTTATTGATTTATTAAAATTACAATATTCTATTGTTATGAGTCTAGGGTGTGAACAGTATGGTGACCCCACTTCGATCAATGCGTTTGGTTACTAAAGTAATGCGATGACATAGTACTGTCTTTTTACGTGCAAGAAATTAAAAATAAAAATAATTCATATTTATTTATTTTTTCTAAAGTTTGTGTAAAAATAAAAATAAAATATTTCAAAGGCTATAAATTTGAAGGTTTTTTCAGGCCAATATTTCTTCACGGTCTGTTCAAATTTGGACATTTCTAAAGCTTAATTAAGTTCAATTGAGTCGCCCACATTTTTGTCTCAAGTTAATTTCATAGTTCTGTTACGTCACTCAAGATTTATTCTGCTCTCATTTTCTATTCCACTTTATTCACCATCGCTCTTTTATTCCATCTTATGAGTATAGCAATTTATAGAGGACTCTTAGTCTATAGCTTATTTACTCTTCATTATAAACACTTATTTTATGATGTTTCGTTGTATTATCAATTATCATTATCTTATTCATATTTTTGTTATTATTGGGTATTTTATAATCTTTTCAATATTATGTAAGTACAGTGTTCATGTTTATGATAGGGCTCCAGCCCTATCGTATACAAATAAATAATTGTAATACAATAATTGTACACCTATTTACAATCCCATAAATGTGTTACAACATATTTATGAAATTTGTATGGAAACTTTTAACATAGGTACCGTATCTATCTATTATACTCTTGTTTTTATATGTATTAATTTGACTGACGTGACCTCCTACGATTTAATCATAATATTGTTTAATATTTTACAATAATCAATACCATAAATCGTTTTAGCTAAGAATACCTGCCACGTTTATGATCGACAATTATCCATTTATGCGATAACTAATTTTTAACAAGTCTTAGTAGAACGTAAATAATTAGGAACATGCATCGTTAACACTATCTCAGGGTCACTAAATTAATGTCTATTTTAAAAAAATAATATATTACACTATTGTTTTCTGATTTTTCAAACAACACGTTATTATCTTATTTGTATCTATGCATGCTAGCTGAAAACATTGAGCTTAATTTATTTTTCGATTTCAGTTATTGTTTGAATAACTTGATTGGTTCAATTAAAATAATAACATTTCCGACAAAATATCTGTATAGGATAATGTATGTTAAGATTTAACTAATGATTCTTATGTGTAATAATACTGCATTGCCATTACAAACTATGGTCTAATTCTTTATAATAGTTATAGAAAATAACCCATTATTTTTAAAACAGACCCATTAGTTATTGTTCCCTGCAACAATATTTTTAAAATATTAACATTTTTATTGTATGGTATTACTCAATAAAATATTTAAAACCTTTTTTTCAATATTGTTATCCTTTTAATGGATTTCGAATTTTAGATGACTTTTAATTTTTTTCAAATAACATTGGTTATTTATCCATAAATATTAATTTTTTTATCTAAACTTATATAATTAATAAAACATTTATTCGTTCATTAATAGAACTTTCAAGAAATATTTTTTTGTCTCTCTAAAAATGTTTAAAATAATTAAGATAAGAGAGCTAACTGGGACACTGACTTGAAAGAGTATTTTATTAATATTTTTAACCAAAAGGATTGGCAAAAAAAATGGTTCAGATTATGTTAAAACTGGGTGATTATTACTTATATGTATAGTCTTTTATTTTATTAATGCGTATTGAGAAATATAAACACAGCCATTTCAAATAAAATTACAGTTGATTTGTTTAAAACCTTATATTTATTGTCAATGTTGTCACTTTATTTGATAAAAAATGAATTGAATGAACATATTATAGTATTATAGTGGGGTATTAATATATATATAATTGAATTAATCACGAATTAAATTAAATTATCAGTTACTAGCGTTTATAAGTATATGTATCACAAGCGTATTACATTACGATATAGAACTAGAAAAGCATAAAACGAATAGGAAATGATATTATTCGAGTAATATGATATTTTAAATACTTTATATTATAGTGTCTATATTTTGTTGGGGGAGTCGTGCATTTTCAAGAGCAATGTCTTGTGACACGCGAAGAGAAAATAAAATTCTACTAAGGTATTTGCACAGACTAATACTACTCCGAATGGCATGAGACTCGTCACTGTTGATGATTAATTGGTTTTAAAAGTGATGAGTATACTTTGGGTTAAAATAAAAACTTAAGTTTAGATTAAAACGAGTAGTGATTTATACGCTACGCCGTATATATCGTAAATTATAAGTACATAATAACTACTAATACGACTTGGGCACTTGGCATTATTGAATTAAAAATGTAAAACTATAAGTTACTTTTAATCAAGCTATATGTAACTAGTTACTTTTTTTAAAGTAACTTCTAACTTAGTAAGTTCAATATGTAGTAGTTATATAAACAATTATTAACCAGTTAATTGATTTTCTAGTTACGTTAAGTACATTTTTTCTCCAATTAATTATACTATTCCCCAGTCGTATTACTTGATATTAATTTTTATTTATTTTTTTTTGCATACATTATTTTAAAAGAAATAAAATCTATATTATCTTTTATTATAAGCTTAAAAATAAGACAATGATTAATTTTAAATAAAAATTCAACTTGGAGTCCACTTCATCAAAGTTACAAAACACTATCAAGAAATGGTCTTATACCATACAAATTTTACCAAGACAAATTAAACCAAGTAAAATTCGCTCCATCAAAGCGTTAATGATATTCTTACTTCAATTAACTTTGTTCGTGAATAGTGAAGTACAACTAAGCCTAAACCTAATCGCACCCTAACCATGGACGATAATAAGTGATAACTTGGCACTCGAAAACAGTTTTCATTCTTACACTATTAAAGATTGATTTTTTTTTTACCATACGATGTGCAAATATTTTATTGATCATTATTATTAAGGGCTAAGGTTACGAGTACAACTATAATTCATATATTTCAATATACTCATTTTCTTTAATCAATTCCGGTGATTTTAACATCATTGTGAAAATGTTCTGAAATCTCACGAAAGATTATTGTGGTACATCTCGTACACCAAAAAAATGGACTAATGATGATCGTGTACGTTTGATTGCCTATCTATGATGCCCTGTATTATATTTAAAATAATTTTAGATAATGAATACCATACCGCCGTTTAATGTATTATCGTATTTATAAAAGAATATACGAACATTTAAAATTAACAAAAATCAATTAAATAACGTAATGACGCAAATGATTTATTTTTAAAATTTATCTTCTGTGCTCTCTTTCTTAACACAGTCAGCATGGAACAGTGTACTAGTTAGTTGCATGGTGCATGTTGTTAATGTCTACCTTCGTAAAGCCATAGTAATTGGTAATAGTAATGGTTATTAATGTTAATATAATATTAATATTAAATAGGTACACTTATTTTTTTGTACAGTATTAACGTTTTGTAAACAATTTTTTTAAGCATTAAAACTTTCAGTATTATTAATGGTTACTAATTACCTTTAAAATAATTTCTTTATAAATGTGTACTTATGTTGTAATATAGGTTATATATTTATAATATTACCTAACGATTTAACGTGTTAAAGACGTCCAACGCCACCGACCAGATAGTCAATTCTGAATTAAATTCTTTTGAAAATATCTATCCCACCTAATGGATGATAAAAGGCTTAGGGCTTGAGTCAAGTTGACCACTGTCCATTCCAAATGTCACTATTAAGCCCGGATTAAGGTAATCCAAACAAGACTTGTATTAGATGTATTGTTTTCGTAAAAAAACAACATAAATAAAGTTTGTTTGGCTAATGAGTAATAATAAGTACATGTTTTATCATCAAAAACAGTTTTATAAACTAATAACTATTAGCTATATATCTTTACACCTAGTTTCTATTGTGGCTGGTAATTATGTTTCAATCATTGTATATTCGTAATCGACGGTGTTCAATGTATTCGCCATTCGGGTATTCCTATAAATCCCATTTCTTTACCATGACCGTCCTGCTAAAAATAGACGATATTTTTTATTTAACGATAGCATAATAAAAATAACGTAATATCCGTTATTAATATATTTTAACCAATTTAACCTATAGCTTATGGAAAACGTTAATGTACCTATTTAATCCAAGTATTTCTGATATAACCTACCTGTTTAAATATAAATAGATTGTGAAAATGAATACGAAAAAAAATTATTTTGGTACGATTACATTTATTTATTTATTATGTGGAAAACATAATTTAATAAAAATAAATGAGATTTACAACTACGCGGATTTCAGTATAGGTGTTGCGCCTTCGACTTACCTGTTAATTACGTATTTTTACGTACGTGTAATATTTAGCGTACGTTCACGAGCTGCAGTGGTTATAAAATATTAAATTCATACAATGTGTACTTAAAAATGTTGTTTACAAATAAAAACGATTAAAGACGTTATCATTATTGCGACAAAGATAAGGATTATTGTGTTTATACCTAATAGATAGATACCCGTTACGAGTAATAAAATGAATAATAATGTGTAGTACTCGACGTCTTTTCAGATACACTAATATATCAGACACAATACAAGCAACTATCAGTAAACAAATTCGGGATAAGGACTCCGTGGCGACGTAGACAGCCATTGTTTAATATAGATCTTACTTTTTTGTCCGGTTAAGCCGGTAATCGGGATTACACTGATCATAATGCTTTTGTGAGGGTATTAAGATTAGCGTTTTGTACATAAAGCCTACGTCTAAGGTACTACCTACAACAGTAGTTATCTATAATTACATGAGTGATTTATTGGTGTCGTGTATGGTATACCTTAACCCATGTAACATTTATCACACAGAAATATGAGTGCAGTGTAATACCGTTTCAGGGATGCTATTCTGAACAAGGACCGCGGTTACGACCTTGATGGGTTTTACTATTTTACTATTTTGTCAAAACAACCAGCTAATGGCAATAACATACTACCGGCTACCGCTGTATGTGTTATAGGTAATTACTAATTTATATTTAAAAATGTTGTTTGATAATGTGGCTTCAAATTATGTAAAAAAATATGAATTGTGTAAGACGTCAATACTTTCCGAAATAACGAGTGTTTATACTTATTATTACTTTAAGCTTTAAGCTGTTAAAATAATTAACCAGTATGATTTAGCACATGCACAGTATTATTTATTATATAATATTTTCCTTTTAATTCGTCATCAGTCATCTACAGAGTGAAACCAGAAACACACCTTTTATCATCAAAAATCAGCTGTTCAGCACAGAAAGGATTACAACTAGCGCTCTAGGTGTGTATATTTTATAATCTAAAGACTAAAATACATATTTATTTTATTTACCGTATTAAACTATTATTATGATTATGATATAAAAATCTGAAAATCTTATTTTAATTTTATTCTTTGAGTATTGATGACGCCGGTGACGGTATCCGATAAATATTATGTGCCTAATTACAAACCAATCAATTTATTATCCCTCAAAATAATCAAAATCCGCAGGGGAAAAACTTGGCATTATTTTAAATAGAAAGTCTCACGTTTGTAAATAACACATAAGAAAACTTAAATTGTATGTTTGTATATTATAATACAAAATATTTTTGTATATCCCTTTTTTTTTTTTATGAAACTATTTTTCGATAGCTAAGGCTGAAAGAAGTCGCCATTCTATACATTTTTCCAACACATAATATCTGCGTTGAGGTTTGTTAGAAAATATTTAAGTTTACTTTAAATGTATATACTTATAAATACGTAGATAATATTTATTATGAAGTTAAAGATAGATAATAGATAAGTAAGTACGATTTTGTAAGAGCATAACTATTTTAATGAGAAAAGAGATTCGTTGTTTATTAACTAACTACTATACATCTTAAGCGACCACGTTAGAGGTTTGTTTAACTTTAAGCTTTAATATTTTTTCTATTCGTGTTTTAAACATTTATTTAAATTAGTGGATGATTTAATATCCCATTATATGTCAGAGATAATAATTAAAGAAATCAATTTGATTGACAAATGCTCAATTAACATACCGTTGAACTGATTTTGTTGTGTTACAAAAAGACATGATACAAAATATTTAATTACGTTAATGATTAATGTCGCTTGCTCGCTAGGTATGATTTTACCGTCCGTAATCGGTGTTATATATTAGGATTTAGGATTTTAAGGAGGATACTCTATTAGGTAATCTATTATCTTAAATCATGACAATAATAATATAATATACCTTCACTCCATAATTAATATGTAACTTTAAAGCAAAATATTTCAATTTTCAAGAGATTACCTATGATATAATTTAATAATTACTAAACAAATAGCCAATAGGTGTATAATTTTATCGTTAAACCTTATTCCAATTAAAAAGTGTAAATAAAAACAAATCCGCCATAATTTATGATTTATAACAGAATTACAAAGTAGGTATATCGAACAGATATAAAATCCTACACTCAACAATTGACTTAGGACTTATTTAGTACAAGGCTCGATACATTAATACATATAGGTAATACCATAACAATATTTACGTTTCGATATTTTTGAATTCATCAAAAGTTATTGAAAAATATTCATTAATACATTAACAAATATAATATAGTATAGATAATGTTTCTAATATTTATGATACATTATATGTATATATTATATTGAAAACAAATACTTACATTAGTATATATATGGTTTTAGGTTTTTAATAAATATAATATGAAGGTACATAGGTACAGGGTTATATATAATTGTATAATCTATGTAAATATTACACCTGTACAAAATTATAGGCGAATATACTCTACCACTCGCGATAATCAAATAAATCTATTTATCGACACGTGATCCTCACATAATATGCACTCGTGATCCTTGTCAATTTAATTTGTTTATGATTTGTAGAATATTAAACATTTCCAAGGACAATAGTATTACCTATATAATAGAATTATTAAATGATGAAATATAAGTATTTTTTTAGAACTTCTTGATATTGTATTAAATAGTATTTTATTTAAAACATACAAAATCATTTAATAACATTATAAAATGTAGTTAAATTAAAAAATTACTAAATATTAAAAAAAAAAGTATAATAATTAAAAAGTGAAAACATGACTGCAGGGATCAGACGAGTAGAAAAAAAAATTATCATTATTGATTGACCCAAGTACCCAACCATAGTCCAGAACCAATAGGTTCTCATCAATTGTTCACAAATAAATGACTGATAACATTGGAATCACTTAATGCATAATAAATTTAATTTAAAGTTAAAGCATAAAGTTTGCATGTTGACTATTATCCAACAGACAAATGTCTGTTGGGAATACAAAATAAAATCTCATTATTATAATATTTATTCCATATGTACTAAAGTAGGTATGTTAAATAATCATTATTGTTAATATTTATAGTCATAAACTATTTCATTATTAGTCTTCTTATATGATCTGTATGAAGTATGACATTGCACTATTGCAGTCTGCTGTGTTATTACTGGCGTCATAAAAATATTTCATCAAATAGCTTATTAAACGTATAAACTATAGTAAGTATATCAATTTTAATGCAGGGAAAATAGTAATGATCCAATGGCGATTAGGTACTTATTTAAAATAACCGGGTAAAACTTAAAAAAATATATTAATAAACATTTATTAAAATTGGTAAATTTGGTTACTAAAATATTAAACTGTTTTCACTTCAAGCATTTTTACATCGTATCTATACAATAAATTCGAATCTAACACATTCATTATAATTTATAAATTTACGTATCATCTTGAACGTTTATTTAATACCGAAGTAGATACACAGAATGTGGTAGATATACTCGACTACACTGTACAGCTGAACGGTCATCAATTCTTCCCCCTTTTTAATTTTAACAATCTACCCCTACTTTTCTCTTTATTGGTGTGTACTCAGTATACCTACTCTAATATGTTTATCACTTTTACGCACGCCGATAGTAGGATTATTTTTAAGCTTATCTAAGTTTACGAATCGTAAATTTTTATTAAATATTATCGAAAATAAATGTTTAAGATTTATTGTTTTGAAAATGAATATTCATCATTAACCTCGCGGTTATTCCAATACTAAACAGGCTCTAAATATTCCTAAATATTCTTCTTCTTGTTTTAATGTAACAGACTTAAAATTTTTAATGGTTCCTTGGACGTTCCCGAACTCCTCACCGCTATACCCTATAGAGTTCCTTTTCGTTCTTCAAGAAATCAATCTCAATTCTAAGTACTCAGTTACAAAACTTCATATGGACATGAGTATATGTTCTACATCATATTTTCAGTGTTGTTAACACAGATATAAAGTATATTTTACAGTACCTATACTTATTAATTTATACTTTAGGTCAGGGGCGGCATAGGATAAAAATTCGTTTAAAATGTGCATTTTAAGTGTAAATAGTTGAAATATGCGAAATAACCATTTTTTCCAACGTTACGTGATTTTTTGACACAATAAACAAAAGTAGAAATGAGAGGTTGCAAAACAAAACATGTTAATGCATATAAATCTTAACCCTAATAATATTAAATTGAATTCGGATCGATATTGATAGTTGTATTGATGAAATTATTTAATAACTGTAAGTTGTAACCCAATAAATTAGTATAAATAATCATCTTGATTCTAATAAATTATTAAATATTGTAGGAACCTAAATTGTTTAATATACCTAGGTATCTAAAAAAATAGTTTAATAGATATCCACCACTTTCTCCATATTTCATCATCACATTTTAACTGTTAAACAATAATGATTTGTTTCACAGAAATTCTTTCACGTCGCTGTTTCACTGTACATGGGGCATTATGCAAACTATTTTTTTCAATAACAAGTATCTATGACCATCATTATATGTGTTCATGAGTGGAAAATGTTAAGCAATGTTTTAAAAATGCTGATACAGGTACCTACTGAAATAGTGAAATTAAAATTCTTCTACTAGTAACGACTGACGAGCAGGTACAGTTTCTAAGACTTGAGCTGCTGAATATCAGTATAGAAACAGATGTCATTCAAAACCACAGTAATTGACTGAACATTTAAACGGATAAGAAAAATAATTACAATACATAAAAATCAAAAAATTAATTGAAACACAAGATAACACAATTTATGCATTAGAATATAACACACATTTAAAATATAAGATGTAAATATTTTATTTATTTAAAAAAATTAATTTGCACAACTAATATTCCATCGGCTTATTATTTACAAGTTTACAAGATCCAGGTAAAAACAAAATGGGAACATAATTTGACTAAAAAAAAAAAAACGTACAACGGTTTTATTATATGAGTAAAAATACATTCAGACATTATTCATACATACATTCATAAAAAAAGACATGGTTCCATACATAAACAAAAAATTACCAAATAAAATATTATGAAACCAATAAAAATATTGGATCAGACACATTAATAACATGGCTCTTGTTTATACAATTTTTAAATTTTCATAGATTTCAAATGGTTAATTTTATACTTGGATTATTTACAAAATAATTGAACAATATAAACAATAGGTTTGATACAAGATGATTTTGTACAAAATTTGTACAAACACAAACGTATTGTTACAAATGTTTTCTCCAAAACGTAATAATAATAATAATAATAATAATAATAACTAATAATAATTGTAAGTTAAAATATAAAATAAAAAATAATAAAGTTGAGTCCGGCACAATGACTGAGTAGTAATGATGAATTAATTAAGTGTACATGTACAGACTTGTCAGTATATTATTGTTTTTTTATTCATAATATCCTTTTCTTGGATATAATATCATACACAACGCATTGACTGTAGAAAGCAGCAACTACACATATTGTGTCATTTATATGCTATGCATTTTACTAGTCTTAATATAACGATGATGTTGATACGGCACAACAGCTAAATAATCCACATAGTATGTATGCTAACGTGTTGGAATGCATTGATTGATAACTGGCAATCTTAATAGCTATAAAGATCTGCCAAGTAAACATGCAACACGTCAAGTGTGCAAGTAAAAAACATCTGCACAGACATCTCAGGTGCAATTATATATAATAATAATGTTGATAGTTACACGCCACTGGAAAACCAATAGAACGTATATTTTAGTATACATAAATCATAGGGAATCATGATTTCCAATTGTGTGCAGACGTGGGTGTTTGTGATGCAGACCGTGATTGGCCTTGTTGGGGCATCATCTCCATTAAATACTGTCGTTGCAAATCAACTGCCTGTCTTTGTAGTTCGGCAAGGTTTGCGGCTACCGCAGCAGCCGAATTCTTTCCACTAGCTTGTGCCATGGCTAATTGGTATGGATACAGAAGTGGTGCAAACTGCAACATGGCAGCAGCTGGATGAGGTGATAACCCTCTGAGCATTTGTTGTTGGAGAGCAAGGTGAGCTGCAGCTGCATTAAATTTACCGCCAGTCGGATCCGAAGGATGCATCTTGTGCGGTTGTGGAGGTGTAGGGTTACGTTTTGGTGCAGGAGCTGGCTTGGGCACGGACGGCATTGGTGGATTTATATGAATTGGATGAACTGGCGCTGGGGAAACAGAAGATGGTGGCGATGCTTGAGCCAACCTTTGTTCTATTTCTTGCTCCTGTTGAAGAGCTTTCACAAATGCAGTCTTCAGTCGATTTGTATGTTCCGCTTTAAGAGATTTCTTTACATTGCTGGTGACGCACAATTCACATATTATTTTAGATTCTTTATCTGTAAATGTAAAAAGCAACAATTTTAATATTTTTTTTTTTTAAATATATATTTTACATTTAATAAGACACATACTTCTGGATGGTTTTTCCAATTTCCAAACTGGTGTAAAGTTTGAATCACACTGAGAACATTTATATGGTTCTTTAGGTATACTAGCTTCGATCATTTCACCATTTGTTATGAAGTCAACAACATGTTCCAATCCCAGTAAATAAATAAATTCTGTATTTGATGGATTTGGAATAAAATGCATTTCAGGTGGTGGAGGTTTTGGTGGTGGAATCTAAATATTGACGTTTCAGTAAGATATGTATTAAAAATCTGAAAGATAAAATTAAATATAAAACTAAATTAATTACTTGTAATAGCGTTTTCTCTAATTGTTTTCTAAGCGCCAATTTAGCAGCAGCTTGTCTCTGAGCAGGTGTTTGACCATCATCATTTCTCAAACGTTCCTAGAAATAATTAAAAATTATTAAATATACAAAAAAGAGAATCAAATAAATAATATTTTATTTCAAATAATGCATTAATACCGAATGAGAAGTATTAGAGGAATGGTGATCTTTTATTACTCGTTCAAGTGTAATTGAAGGTGATGAATGTGTTGAATGTGCAGAATGTGATGATCGACCACCATTGGATGACCTCTGCAAATTTTGCAGTCCATTAGAAGGAGGTAATCTACTTGAACCCATTAAGGGATTTGAAGACATAGACTGGTGAGATTGATGGGCATTAGATCTTGACGATGATGGCTATAAAATAATTGTTGGTTGAAAACAATGTAAATACAACATTAAATATGTTTAAATTTACCAAGCGATTTAATGGGGGCGGTGGTGGTTTTGCATGATGAGGTACATGAGGCATTGGTGGTTGAGCTGACTTCCCCGTCGGCAATTGGGATGACAACAAATTAGAATGATCTTTAGTATGAGCTGCTTGAGGCGTGATAGTAACGCTCTGAGCAATTTGGTTAATTTGTTGAGATTGTTGCAATTTTTTCAACAACACCAAAGTCATTTCTTCTGTTCGAAGATTCTCCTTCAAAACTCTGACAAGTTTTTCTCTTTCACTCACCTCTTCAGGTGGTGTCATATCCTATAAATAGTTATAAATTAATTTATTAGTAAAATAAAATTAAATAATTCTACAAAAATGTTATACCTTAGGGGATGGTGGAAGTTCAAGTGGCATATCATCATCACTTTCCTCTGATGAATCATTGCCAATTGTATTGAAGCCATTAACCAAATGCCCATTCATATGGATATGAGCTTCATCTGGTTGATTACATTTTAAAGAAAGTGGTTCATCTCTTAATGATTGATTCGTACGACTACTAAACATGAAAAATAAAAATAGGTAATATAGATAAAAGTTTAAAGTAGTTGTTGAATTTTATTTTTTAATTGAAAGTTATATGTAAAAATGTACCTATTTAAATATATACTGTACTATTAATATTAATGCATTATTTAATATAATATTAGAAATAAAGAATGTTCATACATCATATTTTCCTGAATTAAATTTTGCAGTCAAATAAAAATTAACTTTTAAAAACTCTAATTTATTTATGCAATATCTTATGTTATATATATTTATTAAATTATAATAAATATGTAATTAGAAAACTAAATATATAAAAAATGGACTAAGAAAATAATAAATTCAATTTTGATTTCTATAACAAAAAAAGAATTTAAAAAAAAATGAGTGTTTATATAGGTACCTAAGTTAATGCTTTTTTTTTATTTTTAATATCCTCTTTAATTATAAAGTATTTACCATACATATTATCTAAATATAATTAGTTGAAAAAATATAAAATATGTTTTTTTTTTAATTACCTTGATATACTTAAATCGACGACATCATCGTCAATTTCCATTTGAGATGCCATTATCTGAAACATTTAATAAAAAAATTAAATTTATTAGTCTGGGTCTTTCTTAGTTATAAATTGCATTAATTTATAATGAATAAATATAAATTATGTACATTGAATTGATTCAATAGTTGACTATAATACTGATTAAGTACCTAATTTTTTATTATGAGTTGTTAATCTGAAACTATTTTATATAATATACATACCTAACATAATATTTAATGAATCAATAATTTCTTAAAATAAGTAGGTACCTACTTCTATAGTTAATTACATACTTTATTTTAATTTTAAACTAAAAATTAAATTCTCTCTTTGGGAAATTCTGTTAATTAATCCACAGTATTATAGAACTAATAATAAGTAGGTTTATCTACCTTCATACATAATATGTATGTTTATACCATTTTTTAGATTGTTTTATTTCAAATTATGAGTTAGACAGTACCTATTAATGAATGCACATAATAATAATTGTATTATGTTTATAGGTCCATGAAAAATAATAATTATTTTGTTCGGCTTGTGATCTAGACAATAAGTATTAAATAAAAAAATAAAAAAAAAATAGCATATACAAAAGAAGTGGGTAATGTGGTTTTATACACCAGCAATTAAAAATTGTTTTTATTTTAAGTATATTTACGAACTAATAGCAATATTTTGTACCGACATATATGTATAAGATATATACTCCACAATTTTTATTAATTAAATAAGAGCCACAGTTAAACTATATTTGTCCATCAATAAACAACAACCCTTTTTCAGAAAGTGTGACAAGTTATAACTGTTAAAAACATCTAAACAAAAACTCAAACATAAAAAGACCAACTCAATTAGGTATTTTGCTGTTAAGTAAATGTCTGCTGTGTCTAAAGAAAAATTAAGTTTACAGAGTACATATAAAATACTAAGTCAGCTTAAAAATGAAAGGCAACTAGTTATTATTGTAAAAATAATTTAAAATCTTATGAAATTTCATTTATAAAATGTTTTATAACAGTTTAACCTAAAGGTTAACTATTTTCCAAATGAGTTACATATAATATATGTTATGTGAAATGCATGCACAGCTGTAGATAGTTTTATTTTTTAAAACTAAAAACATGTGACAATAGTAAATTTACTTGTAATAAAATATTAGTTAAAAATAGGTATACAGATTTACCTAACACCATTTATGTATGTATGTATGTATTTATCAAAACAATAATTAATATCTAATTAACTAAATTGGACAAACAAACATTAGGAATTTAGATACCAAAACTATTATCTTTTATTCATATCTAGCACATATTTTCACAAATACAAAATAATTCCTATCTACCATCTTAACTTTTATTGAATAAAAAATAAATATCGTAATATTCTATAATTATTTATAGAATTTGAAAATGAATCAAGTATGTACCTAGTATTAATTGCTAAACTTTGTATATGAGAAGAAAAGAAAAATTGTAAGTCCATGTAGGTAGGCACATTTAACAAACTAATGTAAATAATGAACAATAAAAATGAAATTGAAATAATATACACATAAGTATACAAGACAATGATTAGAAAAAATATAAAACAAATAATAATTTTAACTAAATAATTATAATGGATAGGTATGAGTTAATTGGCAGATGGGCATACAAAATAGAAGAAACTGAATGTAAACAATAAAATACACCAGGAAGTTAAGTAATTGAATCAAGCAAGTACCTTGCTGACCACAGCAACATAGATTGATAGCAGAGCTTTTAAGTTATACTTCTGATAAGAAACTAAAGATCACAATGGGTCTTCAAGATGTATAACAATTAAAAGAACCTTGATTGAATTTTTAGTATTTTAACTTCATAACTATGAATAAAGAAAAATATAGAATCAAGATTACTTTTAAATAAAGAAAAGTGTAAGTATTTTCATTTTTATTACCTATAGGTATTAGTCAAAACAATTTCAAATTATGATTAATTTACATACTAATTATTCATCAGCTTCTATAAAGGCAATCAGTTAACTATCGCCAAGATTTGTTTGTTAATATTACGGTTTACAAGTGTAGATTCAGCGTTGGAAGTAGTTATCTCTAACCAAATAGAGTTATGGACTGATAACTTTCAATATAATGCTTGAAACGACCATGAAATGTATCGGATGAAATCAATTTAAAGAGTTGTTCTTGTCTGTGTGACATAGGTCGACGTAGAGACCAATATCTTAACGGTCTGATCTTTAAGTACTCAGTCAAGAGGAGATTTTAAGTTTTTGACCGTTTCATAACTAAAATAGATGGCGACATACCATATGGACAACGGCCGAGAGGAGATTATGATTGGCATAGACGTGTGGTCGGGACAAAACGGCTAGTCGGCCAGTTAAACAAGTGCGAACAAACCCAGAAGGAGAAAACTTTCGGTCCACGAACGAGCTCGTAAATTATATTATTATCATTATCACACGACACGATTGCAGTCGAAATTATTCGGTGACAGGTCCATCGTTCGGGCAAAACATGTAATGTACATAGTGTATTCGTGTCAAGGTGACGGGAAAACGACAAACGCGGCGGCGGCCATGACGCAGGTACAAGACTTTTCGCCGTCAAGTTTTTTTACCACAAACACACACACGCACGCACGCACGCACACACACACACACAAATTTACATACACACGGACGGACGGACGAATAATAAATATTGACAAAAACGTAATAAAAATATCGAACGAAATCGGTTTTTGCTTGAGTACAACAAAAACAATAACAATAACAATACCAAGCAATAAGCACTAAGTTATAATAATAATAATAATAATAAATAATAATAATAACAATAACAATAACAACAACAACAACAACAATAATAATAACGACATAGATACTTACGCAGTAAGTCGTCGATCGACGGCAGCGGCGGCGGCGGCGGCGGAGTTGATGACGACGGTAACAAAAGACGACGACGACGATATTATAATAATTACAATATTATCCGTAATACGTTTTTCGGTCGTTGTGTCCGGCGACAGCGACGGCTACACGACAAAGTGTGATTCCGACATCGCAACAACACTGTAACGACGGATTGATAACAGCGGCAGCGGCATCGTCGACAACGTACTTGTTATTATTGTTGCAGTAGCGGCGGCGGCCCGGCGGTCGTCATCGGCCATCGCGCCGTTGTGGCGCGACCGCGGCACGAGCAACAGCGACAGCAACAGCAACGGATCGCGAGAGACGCGCGGACCGCGACCAAGTCGGAAAACCTACGGTCATCCGGACGACGACGACGACGACGGCGTCCCGGCCGACGGGACGAGGGATCGGGCGACGGACGGGTCCCTCTGAGCGGACGCGCGATATCGCGAATCGCAATATTCTTGCCGCCGACGTTTGGCGTAAATACGTGACGCGAGACGACAGCGGGTGTCGATCGCCGCCGTTCGAACAAACGACGCTCGCGGCGTAGGCACTTGCCGTGCGGGCAGCGTGGGACGGCGGCAGCGGCAGCAACAGCGTACGACGACGGTAGCGGCGGTGTCTCACGACGACGGAATAGCCGGCCGATCGGGCGAGATCAATTTCCACGATTCGAGTAAAAAAAATTTTGCTCTTGGCCGGAGTCGTAGCACTTCACACACACGCGCGCGCACCACACACACACACACACACTCGTCGAGCTCGGGTAATCCGGTAATGGCCGGATACGCGAAAATTAACGCGCGCACACACACACACACACATATACGGACGTCGGATTCAATATGGCGCGTCGCGCGCGAGTTTGCGTGTGTGTGCGTGTGTATTATACGCTTATTAATGCGCGAGACCGTCGTGTGTGTGCGCGCGGGTTTGTGTCGGTGTGCGCGCGCGGCGGCGTGCGTGCGTGCGACCGGCGCTGCCCGTGTGTTGTTTTTCCACCGATTCTTCTTCGTTTTCGTACACCGATCGGGCCCCCCCCCCCCCCCCGCGCTCCGTCCTCCCCGTCATCCCCACCGTCAACCCCATGACTCTATAGTCGCGACCCGGCCACCACCGCCGCCGACGACTGTGTGTATCAATGTCCCGCAGTCGGTCACACTCGTACACTCACACACGCGCAAACACCCATCTCGTCATTACGTACCGCGCGCCGCCGTCCCCGACCGACGGCGACCACCTCCAACGACGACGCTGCAGCTAAACCACCGTGGCCCGCGAGCTCCGCCGCCGAAGCCACACGCGACCTCCCCCGACCACCCGCCCGTCGACCTTCCGGCGCGCACACCCTTCCTTCGGCCGCGTCGTGTCGCCGCGGTCCGTTATTAAATTATTATTATTATTATTATTACTATTACTATTATTACTATTACTATTATTACTATTACTATTACCATTATGCACACGTCAATGGTATTATGCATATTATAATATTATTGTGGTATGTACGTGATGTTGTATAAAATATAATATACTATATACCCGCTCCCCGGTATACCGCTAATGACGACGACTGCGGTAATGGTTAAACCGACGACGACGAGCCCGCGTCGACTAATTCAATCGCCGTCTGCATCACGCACGATATATGTATCGACGACTATACGACAACACTGTCGAGGTCCTGTTGGTTCATCGGTTCACGGTCTCTGCCAAAAATAATTCCGACCCGATTTTAATCACTTTTTAACCAACAAATGATGATGTAATCCCGCCATCAATGTACTGAATGAACGATCGATCACGATATGGTTTTAAAATCAATAGAAAACCTAGACGATGAATGGTATACGCTTTTTATGAGTATCCAAAATTTAGCTGAAACCGTACCTAATACATCCGAGACTAACACCCATCGTTCAACACTACGCCGTGTTTTATTCATAACGTTTACTGGTCACTATTTCCATATTAATTTGAAACTCGGACAATAAAACGAACATCGCTTCTGTAGTCGTATTCAAAAATCAATATCACGAACAAATACATACATTATTATAGGTATGTCAGATGTGTATTCAATAACGTCGTACGAAACGTATTCCACGGTTAAGACCGAAATGAAAAAATTAACAATAGACGTCAGAACCACGAAAACTAAAACTAAGTTTCTTGACAAAAGTTAAATTTAGTAGAAGATTGAATAAATATTAGTATTTACAGTTAATGCTAATTATTTATATGCACCAATAGCGTGAAATAGTGCTATTTGATATTTAGTAATATGTTATATGCAATGACAAGAAAAATCACAACCTTTTCACCGTTATTGGATCAGTTGGATCGGTAAGTCAGTTCAAAGTTTACCCCTAAAAAAAAATGTATATACAAATTACATCAATCCAATGCGTTTGTACGTCATACCCAAGTGTATATCAGCACACTATTAACTATTAAGATTTAAGATACCTAACTAATTGCCACACACAGGGTCTAATGAAAATGAGTCGGAATAAAAATTTAAGCTTAATATCACAATTATTATTTATGAGCCTTTGAAGTTAACAATCGGATGACGTTGAATATTCACCCAGTAAAATAACTATTTATCGTCAAGCATTTTTAATTTTTTTAAATTTTTTGTACTCAATTATATTTTCAATATATTTATATTAATTTGAAGTTATTTATAACAATTTGAAAATTTCAAATTTCAAATGTTTATAAATAGCTCAATAAGAGTCGAAATATTTTTTGAATTTTATCATGTATAGAAAATAATATAACCTTTTGGTGTAAATATTTGAAGTATTTAAACGATTAGGTATCCGGTATTGAATAAGACATCGAAAAAAAAATCGATATTATTGAATAGGTACCGGTTCAGCTTAAAAATTCCTATTTTCCTTAATTTTATTTTTTTATTTTTTTCCAAAATTTTGAGAAATATTGAGAAAAAGGAATCTTATACCTTTGACTTCTCTTAACATCAAAGTTAAAATTCGAAGCATTTGTATATACGAGTACCTACTAGCTGCTTTAAAAGACGATGTCAAACAAAAAATAATACATCATTGTAAAATTAAAATATATTCATCACTCCACTTAGGTAGAACCTAAAATAAATTACTATAATAGCAATACAAATACATCTTATATATATATATAACTATAGTAATAAAGATGTTAATATGTTTTTGATAAAAATTAAATCAACTTGAAAATGAGCAATACCATTAGTAAAATTGATTATCTAAATATTAGTAAATTCAAAAAAACGTATCATGAAAAATATTAATATTAGGTTAACGAGTTCTCGCTCAATATCCTTTTTCGTTTGCAATGATTTATCATTGAATTTAAATTTAACACATTCATATCAGTGACTTACTCAATGACAAAGTACACTCAACACGTCGACACATAATATATTGTGGAGCGGTTACCTTACTTGTTTATTTTTTTAAGCATGCAATTTACTCTTGTTTTTACAAATTAAATCAAGTCGAATAACTTGAATTTACTATAAACAGTATAAACGTAAATTACTAAAAATCGAACATTTATCATTCGCTATTTCCAAGTATAAGTAAATTTTCTTGTTTTAAAATATCAAAATGTAAGACTAAATTTTTTATTTTAAAAGTTTTAAAATAAATATATTTTTATTTTTATAAAGCAGCTAATGAAATAAAAAATAATTATATTAATTATTAATAAAAATTTAATTTTGACAATTTATCATAGTAAATCACGTATGGGTAATTAATAATTATTTAAACTGTAGTGATTTTTTATTACAATACCGTCAATACCATAATTTGTTATCAGACTTAAAATGTCAATGTTATTATATAAAAAAAATAATATGTTTCCACTACCCACACATTTACAATAATTATCAACGTTAAATGTATAACCACAAACATAACATTATATTTTTAATAATATCCAATCTTTATTATCGTTTTGTATATAATACACAGTATGACGTTAAGCTATATAACCATAAATACATGGGCAAATCAAATAGTTACCCATGTCATTTTTTGGTTTAGTGTTTTAAATTAAATACTTCGATATGCCATTATCATGTTAACTGTTAACTTGGATAAACGCCTCACTTATAGAATAGTCATATCCGTATCAAGAGACTGCCAAACGCACGTCTCCGCAAGTTTCGACTATTACTTTCAAACAATTAACATACCAACTTAAAGTTAAAGTTTTTATGTAAAAAACTTTACTTAAACCACTCTGGACCTATAGTCTTCAACTATCGAGTACTGCAAAAGTTTCTAATACCAACAATTCCAGAATATTGTCCTTAGGAAGATAACGAATACCCTATTATCTTACCTAACCTACCCTATGCATCTTATTAAATTCTACATGCCTAATGACCTCTCAATGAAAACTGTAACTAAAGAACCTGTACGCTTCTACAAAAACATTCATACCCATCTCCAAACACACCAAAATTTACTCATAAAAACCTGTCTACTCTTACATTACCTGGTAACCCTAGGCGTAGTCTTAAAAGGAACTGGTACCGTGATTTTTAAAGAAACTAACTAATAAAATGAAATAAAAAATATACTTTATTTTATATGTAAATATTAGTTAGCTCGATTTACTTCCAAGTCATTTTAAGAACAATTTATCCATTTTTATAACTTCATATTTTAATATTGCACATTTTATTTAATTTTACAAATAACATTTTATTAATTTTATATTTTATATAAATTTATATAATTTAGTTGTATTCATTTCAATGTCGACACTATAATAATAAATATCTATTTTGTTTTATTTCACAAGGCTATATATTTTGATAGTTATATGAAGATTTATTTGTGGGTTATAGTTTACTATCCGAATTTAAATCTACTGGCAAGTTTTTTCGATGGTAAATATTCCTGGTCAAGTTCTGGGTATATAAGACTGCAAAAAATCATGTTGTAAGTTTATTTTTACGGAGTAACTTCAAATTTATATAAAGGTCATATATGTCATGACATGTAAGCTTTCCTGGGTGCTATTATTGAGTATATAATGTATTATTTGCAATAATAATTAGTAATTATATGTTATCCTCTATTCTGCAATTAAATGTTTATATGTTACTATATAGATACTTATGATTTTTTAATAACTGATATAAATTTATATTATAGGATATAATATTTTTGATATTTACTGAGTTAATATAATATTTTATTCATAAAATCGTTACCTATTCCATTCACAGTTTAATTGCTGTATAAAAATATTAATCAAAATCAAAAATTAACGCATGTTTTTAAAAAAAAAATCTATGAAGTTAATATGTACTATAAAATATTTCATATTTTAATAATATTAAATATCTATTATTTTCAAATATTTTGTAAGTTTGATATTTTTTTTACTTATTAATTATTAATGATCGCCTATAATTTGTATGTTGGTTATATGTGATTACGATACGTATTCATGAATTATATATATTAGGTGGGTCAATATTTTTTCAACCCTCTATCAGTCTCTCCCATTAAATTTCATCGACCTTGTAAATAAAAAGTTCCTGTATTGAACTAAGATTGTTTTATTATTTAATATAACTATTTAATTTTCATTAGAATTTATGACGTTATTTTTAATTAAAAATAAAGGAAGTCGTTCAACTGTTTATAGTACTGAATTACATTAGTATACCTAGTTATCGGTTAGGTTGTTTAATAGGTAGGTAAGTTTTATATTAATGATAAATTATTACATACAAAACACGATTCCGAGCTAAGATAATGTGTTGGCCAATATGTCTAAGAACTAATAAGATATTCATTTTATCCAATAATTTATTTTTCTATTAGTATATATATACGTATACGTAGTACGTTAATATGGTAGATCGAACTAATGTTTTCTATAAAGTTTCATAAAAAT